AAACGTTAACTCTGTTTTCTCCTCCACAGATGCTGCCAGACCTGCTGAGCTTTTCCAGCAACTTTGTTTTTGTTGTTGTTGCATTTATATATTACCCTTTACAACTACCAGACAAACCAATGAAGTACTTTTGAAGTGCAATAACAGTTACAGTATTGGAAACACAGTAGCTAGTTTGTGCCCAGCAAATTCCAACAAATGACAATTGATAACAACTAAATAATCTGCTTTATGGAGTGTTGATTGAGCAATATATATTGGTCATGGCATTGAGGATACAAAAGCAAAATGCTGAAAATCTGAAATGAAAGCAAAAAAGAACAATGGAAATAGTAGCTTGTGGGGTGGGCAGGACTTTTTTGATCAGGATCCTTAACCCAGTCAAAAGCTGAATGGCGAATAATTTGTTGCCAATAGAGCCAATGGGTTTTCAGAGCCTAACAAGGCAAGGCTTTCACTCTGCTCATCTCTTTCATTTTGGACTTAGTCTGAAAGTGGGGAGAATCCACCTGTGGGATTTCATTCCTTGCGAACATGGAGGAGCAACCATCAGACTGTCTTCTGCCACTGCATGATATAATAAAACAAATGTGAGTGGGAGTTTTACACCAGCATGGTGGATTATCAGATTTTGCAGTAATAAAATTATTTGAGATGTTCAAGTATCTCAGTTAGCTAGATGGCTATTATCATAGAATCCCTACACTGTGGAAACAACAAGCCCACACCAATTCTCCAAAGAGCATCCCACCCAGACTCACTTCCTCCCCTACCCTATCCCTGTACCCCTGCATTTCCCATGTGCAAACTCCACACAGACAGTGAATCAAGGCTGGGACTGAACCCGGGTCCCTGGTGCTGTAAAGCAGCAGTACTAGCCACTGAGCCACTGTGCCACCCATAAATGAACTCACATTCTGCCATCAAGCATGACAGGATTTGAACCTCGGTCCCCAGAGCATTACCCAGCTCTCTGGATTAATACCCTAGCAATAATACCATTAGACCATCACATTGCCATCACATCACATGGTTAAGAATAATATCAACAGTCCATGTTCAATTCCCCATTGCAGCTGAGGCAGACTTGGCACTTTTGTCCTTGCCTTAACCCTGAGAGTGGAAGGAAATGGCAAACTATCACTAACAAAAATCAAGAAGAAAATTGTTCAGGTTGAAGAATTATCAATAATAAGCCAAGATACTGCCTTTAAGTAAAGCACACATGCATTACAAACTTATCAAGGCTAATGACCATATACTTTTCCCATCTTAAGCATCCATTTGAACATCACACCTTTTTGATATACTATATTTGTAAGTAATTAAATATCTTCAAGATTGAAGTTTGCAAAATATTTACAGGTCTAAAATTTACGAACAGCATTTTTTGAGTTTTGTGTTTTTTAAGAATTGGTCCAAAGTTAACATACCTCAAAGATGATTGACTCCAGTCTTGGCTTATCAGGTCAAGCACTGGTAAATGTGTTTCCAGCAGCATTCTAACAGACCCAGAATGTTTTCTTGTAGCAGATGTCAAGTCAAAAATAGTCCCATGTGTCTAGAACAAGGTTAATGAACAGGCACTTCAGGTAATGTATCTGTACAGACTATAAATATATTTTACTTAATTCATTAATGAAAGTACTTCATAGGTATAGTAACAGACACTGAAGACAACTTTTAACATCTTTTCAGAAACCAGCAGTCGACTTATTTCCAGTTCAGTTCAATGATCAGTAGCATTCAACAATAACTGTGAAGAGCAGAAGATTACGTTTCTTCGCCACAGTGCTTTAAAAATATCATTTAAAAATATTTCAGGTACTGTACACATTCTTCAGGTCAATGTTACAAATAACACCTCAAAGAAACAGCTTTTCTCAGAAGAAATCTGAAATGCATACAATCATCTTCTTAGTAACAAATATGTCCATTGCACTTGTATAAAATTGGAAAAGAAAATCCAAAAAGCACAGATAACAGATGCTTACTATTCATATGAAGTTTTCTCTCATAAGGCTAATAAAATGACTGTGTCGCGGAACTGGCCAACATTCAGGCTAAAGAGACTGTGAAACAGACTGTTTCCGCCCAATGGCTTCACTCCTCAGTTTTCTTCCATGCAAAATGTTAGCTATTTTGCTTGGCTCTTTGCCAGTTTTGAATATCTTGCTGTGTGCAGTATTGAATCAGCATAATGTCTAGTTATCCCTTTGCAGAAATGGTGAACTAGAATTGAAACAGTACATATCACCATCAAAAATAATGTATTATGATCTTGTGGTTTTAATTTTTTTTCTTATAGTCTAGCTGACAGTCCAGGTTGTGTCAATTAGTGATTCTTCAGTCTGGACACTATAAGCCACTAGCTGTAGCTTGGTGCAACAACCCAGAGTTTCAAATTTCAGCCAGCTTATTTTCTGAACACACTGTTTCTAAAATAAGCTGTCACCTTAGCAACAGGGAATCTTAACCCAGCAGACAAGTAGGAACTTTGATCTCAATCTATCAGTCACTGTGAGACAGGTTATCCAATTAAGAATTAAACAGTAGACACAGGGGCAACAGTCTTGATATAGTCTTGAAATAGAAGTCTATCTCATAAGTTCTTAAAAGCCAAAATAAGAAAATAATTCTATTTTCTGAAAAAAAAGATAAATTAACTTGTGCAATTCCAATTCTACCTATCTTGATTGGCTTAAGGCAGACCTATCTAATCAAAAAGACTGACAAGCTTGAGCTGTCAAATTTTCACATCGTTGAAAACTTTCAATATAGCTCGTGTTCCATCCTGAAAAAAGAATGGTTGAAAATACTTTGAAGATTCATTAATGACATTTATTAGTTTAATTTAGTTTAATTATTTCTATTGTGCATTTAATTTTATATTTAATAATAAAAAATAAATTGCAAGTTTTGTACTGAGCAACAAAACCGTTCAAGTTACTTCATAAGCAATATCTTTCATTATTTTTCCATGAGTAGAGTAACACTGAACATCATAATTGAACTTTGTGTTCCTAAGCTAGGGACAGGGAAAAAAAAAGTTGGGTTTCTTGATCTTGATTGATAATCAGTGCCCCCATTGTAACTTTTGCGTGTGTGTTTGTGGTGACATCTGATGAAGACATGATGAGACTTGGCAATGATATGGTCCATAATTTAAAAGTCTGCATACATTCACTGTCTTGTCTCATACTTGAAGAATGACCATTTGGGTAAGGCTACTGGAGTCAAGCCAGCATTTTGAAATCATGAGTCACCAGCTTCATAAGAGGAAAAATTGGAAAGAAACAAAAATGATTTGATTTAGTTTTAAAAAGTACAACGAAAATTTATTTTGGTTAGTTTAATTTTGGTATATTTTATTGTCCATTTGTGTCATTAAAGAAGGTTGGTATCATTCATAAATTGTTTAGTTATTGATATTTGGCTTTAATTGATCTTTTTGCTCCATGTATTTGTGTACCTTGGAAGCTGCAAAAAATAAAAGATTGCCTGAAAAATATTCAAAAACAAGTGGCTATCCAAGAATTGGGATTAGCATGCCTTTAGTGGTAGTTATTGCCATGCAGACTTGATAAGTTGAGTATGACTCTATGGCTCTAATTGTTTTCCGTTTTCTGTTTGAATAGAATTCAAAGAATGAACATACTATGATAGGGTGCCATTAACTGAAAATCATATGACATTTAAGCTTTCAGCTAATTATTGTGATTAAGCACCCATTTTGTACATTTTTATGATTCCTTGATCTTTAAATCTTTAAATAAAAGATTAAATAAAAGGAAGATCTTTAAATAACTCCCAAGCTGACCATGAAGTGAATAGGGTTACCCAGTTTATTGTATTAGAACCTTGCACCAAAGCCTTTTTGAGTTTGTGCCTCTTAAAATTAGTTGTTGATATGATGTAGTTTTCCATATTTTAGGCCATGGACATATACCACAGACAGCCAGGATGTTATTAAGACAGATACATATAAGTTTATTAACGACTGTATACACTAATACTTCAGACACCTCAGACTCAATTGGCAGTGTGGGTTATGTGCTTACTTAGTTTGCTATAATGTTTTATATATATTTGACTGGCTGACTGACTGATTAGCTGGATGACTGCTGACTGAATGACTGGAGAGTAAGACACAGACCTCTTAAACTGGAGCTCACATGTTGTGATGTCATCTAGCCATCTTAAAGGTATGGTGCCTTTCTGAGATCTGTTCAACAATATAAGCGTCAGCATAAATTTTACAGCCCCAACATCAGTTCTGGGTAGTTTTTGTCTTTAGAGTGGAATGTAGTATTCTATGTGAAGTTCAACTAAAAATTTCTCCTGTAGTTTAAGATGAAAATTGTCAACTAGAAGTGTGCTTAGAATCTCCTATAATGTCTTGAACACTTTAGTGGAGAAACATAAGAGGAAGAATTCTATTTGTACAGTCATCAGGTAGAAGAAGAGTACCTTAGTATAATACCAGAACAGCATTTTTATCTTATAATTATCCCCCTGGGAACTGACAACAGTGCAGAAAGAAGTTCAAAGATCTGACCCAGGATGCTTCTTACTCAAACACTGAAACATCATTTCGTAGCTTCCTCTTCACATCAGTTCCAGAACTCTGCCACTAGTCCCATGGCGCGTGTCCACTCTCCCACACACCTGAGGTTTTTTCATTACAGCATGAAATCATATTCCTGTACCTTACATCACATGAGTGTATTGATCCGAACTCGCTGTCTGCAATTCACCATGGAGCAGTATAGGTTGGATATCAATGGAGATGAGGGACTCCATGTATGTGAGATAAATGGCAATCTGGGATTCCTGAAGCCATTTGTAATGCTTGCAATTTTCACCACTGCAAGTTAAAGGTGCAAGATGATTGTGAGCCAGCCAGGTATGGGTGTGGCTCTGTAGTGGTGAAAATACCTGACTCCATGAATATCCAGCCTATGCTGCTCCATGGTGAATTGCAGTTTGGTTGTTTGGACCAAGCACTTGTGTGATTGTGATCTGCCTTCTTTTCTTCTTGTTTTTTCTGCTGGTGCAACTCTGTAGATTCTAATCTTCCCTTCTCCTAGCTATAATGACAAAGATCAAATCCATTGAGATCGAACAGAAATTTTCCAGAAGCCCCTGAATAAGACCTCTCTCTTGACTCAACAAATAACTTTCCCAAATGATTATCTTCAGTTAATGCTGTCAAAACTCCTAACTGTCACAAAAGCAGCACATAAACCATCCAAACATATTAACTAGCAAATTATTGAAGGGAACTGGTGATCACTTTAAAGTGACATTCTGCAGCCTGTTCCTCCATCTGATTGCTCTGACTGGTTTAGAATTGGTGAGTGGGTCAACACAACAGTTGAAAAGTATGTTTGGATCCAAAACAGGTGTAGAACCTGAATTTACATGGTCTACTAGATGTCCATTTTGTACAAAGTATTGGATGTCTAAAATAAATTTTGAATCAAAGTGGCAATGGGAAAGTTCAGTACACAAAATGGTGCCAAAAATCTGACCTCCTGTGGCTGAGTGTTCATATTCTGGAGTTAAAACCAATGTCCTCAGTTTAAAAATTTCATCCTGCAAACAACCTAAGGATACAAAGGAAGGTTGTATTTTCTGTTTTATACTTTCAAAGCACTTGCATTTGGAAGAATAAAATTGTGTCATGACAAAAAATGATTTAGCTTTCAATTTCTTACAGTGTTTGCCAATCCATGGAAATCAGTAATAATCTTAGACTAGTAAATTAGCAGGATCTTATTATAGCAAATAAACAGGTAATTCATTATATGATATCATTTTATTGAGATGTTATTTCCAAATATTTTCGCTGAGTTCAATGTTTGCATAGTTTAACATTTGAAACTTTTGGTGGAGTAAAATTTTGTGAAAGCCTTTAATCATTTTCTAAAAAAAAATGAGTGACAGCTGCATTCTGTTCCAGTCCATTCTCAACACATCTGGATTTTAAAAGATGCCAAAATCAAATCTAGGTAGGCAGAAATTGATTTTCTTTGTAGTTATACAGAAAATCTACTAACATTCATATATCAAATATGGATCAAGAAAGTGAATGTTCAGTAAGCATGCCAACATTATGCTGATATCTTCTAGAATAATGAAAGGTCATGACATGATTGTAATGCGATTAAAATTTCAAATTAAATTATGTTTTATTGGATCAAATGAGATTTTAAATTTAAATGCCATTCATAACCAAAAGCTAAGTATTATTAGTGATATCTATTGTATATTATATTTGTGCCATATGTTGTAACTTATGTCTTATATATTGTATTAATGCTGCCATTTCCAGATATTAAAGGAGTATGCAATTAAAAGCAGGAAGTAGGTAAGACACACAAAACGGTATTGCATGTCACTGTTACATTTAGAACTGTTATTATCTGAGGTATGATAAAATGATTAATATATATTTTGAGGGGAAGCCCAGACACTCTGAAGCCAGATAGACAAATTAAGAACAGATGGAAGCACATATTACTTACAGATAGGATGGAGTACAATTCATGTTCTATGTTTGAGATCACTGACTGGAAACAGCAAACAGGTTAATTATGTGTGCTACAGATCGGACATTTTAAAAAATATTCTCATACTTCTGGCTCAGCCACAAACACAAGGTTTGCATCTGCAGCAAACTCCATTGTGGGCAGTCAATAAGACTACATTGCTACAAGCCGTACATCAAAACAACGAAAAATGGTATTCAGCTCACCTTAATATTTGGGATTCACAGAAGATATTCTCTCCTTATGATAGTATCCTCATCCTCTAGAACCTTCTGCAATACAAATATGCAAAAATCCATCTTACAAAATATTGGCATGAAGTAAAACAATTTAGGTTGATTTTATGTATTCTTGTTTCCCATTATTAGATTTGTAAAACTACTGACTGTACTTAAAGGTATTTATCATTCCTTTAGCACTTACAATGTAGCAGGCCTCACTTTAAAAAGGGCAAGCTTCTGGGTGTCCAAAGATTCTTGCTTTGAGCACACAACAAAACAGGGGATCCTCAATTTCCCAATGTCCAACT